TGTTGATGAGGCTATGAAAAAGAAGGGACTCTAGAACAATTGTGGCAGAAATACAAACCAGTACAACTCTTCTAGAGGAAATTTGGTAATACCTACAAAACTACATTTACACCTACATTTTGACCTAGCAATACCACTTTTAGCAACTTACTTGAAGCTACTTTCTAAAAATACAGAAATACATATGTACAAGGTTACTTATTACAGCACTGTTTATAGTTGCAGAATGTTGAAAACAATCTAAATGACCACTTACGAGAAAGTGGGTAAATAAACTAATAAAGTGGGTAAGATAATGGGCAGCCCTGGTGGCCCAGCAGTTTAGCGCTGCCTTTGGCCCAGGGCATGATCCTGGAGACCCAGAATCAAGTCCCATGTCGGGCTCCCTCCGTGGAGTCTGCTTCTCCCTCTGCCTGTGTCTCTGCCTCTCTCTCTCTCTCTCTCTCTCTCTCTCTCTCTCTCTCTCTCTCTCTCGTCTCTGCCTCTCTCTCTCTCTCTCTCTGTGACTATCATAAATAAATAAATAAATAAAAATTTAAAAAAATAAAATAAAATAAATAAATAAAATATGTTTTAAAAAAAGTGGGTAAGATAAGAACTAAAGTAACTTTGGAAATCAGAACTTTAACTATATTCCATAAGGCTAAAGACAAAATGAATTGGACACAAATATTGTACTTGAGTTGTAAATTTGCTTTTCACAGGAGTGTGGGTTACTATTTCTGAAACTACTTTATGAATATTCTAAGATTCAGCAAAGAAGTAAATATACTGTGGATAATAAGAGCCAGGTTTCTCAAGAACAAAGAAAGGAGATAAAAGGAAAAAGGGAAAGCAAAAATTAAAACTGTGGTGTTTAACTGTAAGTATCAATATGAACTAATGTTTCTTAATATATATACAGATAGACATAAAACAGATATAGATGTTTGTGTGTGTGTGTGTATGGAAAGATATGCAACTGTCTCATATTTAAAGAAAGGCAATTTAAAACAAAACTAGGATACCATTTCTTACCTGTTGGTGTGGCAAAATTTTAAATGTAAGACAACACATTCTGTTGATGAGGCTACAGGGAAACGTTTATTTCCTAGGTCTGTATACCGAGCTTAGAAATGATGCCCCAGCAATAATGAGCACACTTAGCAGCAAATCTTGGTTTCTAAGTATACATCCCCTCAAAAAAGGAATCAAGGGTCCTTAAAGAAGTGGCTGATTCCAGGGTTGGGGCAAGGAAATTAGAAAATGAGCTACATGATGCTAGAAAGTAAGGAAAAAAATAAAAAAAATAATGGAGGACAGGTGAAGGGACACTTGAAAGAGCTCCCAAAGGCCAAATTTGAGAAAGTTTGAACAAAATAATGAGAGAATAGAGAATAATCCACAGAGTAAAATAAATATCTATGAGTCTATATTGATACAAATAAAAAATAAATAAATACTAAATAAATGGGGAAAAGGAATAATTCTCCCTTAGAGTAGAATTACTATTCATAACTGTAGAAGAAATGATGGAAATAGCAAATGACCACTTGACAAACACCACAGTATTAACTGTTGCAGGCAAAACTCATCAATGGATGTTAAAATTAGTAAGTGAAAGTATCATGAGAAACAAGGTGTTTGCATGGTCTCAAAGTATTTTCCCATAATATACTTATTAATTTAAAGTTTAGTAATTATAGTAATCTAGTAGATACTTCCATAACCAAGTGATCAAACTTAACATTCCCAATAACTGGCACCTTATATCTCCTCTGTATGATGAAGGGTACATCATTTCTATAAGATTCCTTACCCAGATGCATTGTTAACCTCAATCTAATCAGGAGAAAACCTTAAACTTTCCAGAGAGGAAGGATTTTTACAGTCTGCCTAATTTTTCTACTGCTGTGTCCCCAGGGCCTACAAGATAACTGGCTAGTATTCTTCCAAAGTGCCCAAGCCATGAAAGAAAAGAGGACTAAGGGACAGTCCTAGATTGCAGGAGCCTAAGGAGATAGAACTAAGTGCAAAACGTAATTCTAGATTGGATCCTAGACCAGAAAAAGGACATCAGGGGGGAAATGATGAACTGTAAACAGGTTTTTAGATCACTTAATATTATATTAATGTGAATTTCTTGGTTTCAATGATTGACTATGGCTACATAACATGTTAACATTTAGGGAAACTGTACGTAGGGTATATGGTACCTCTGTATACCATTTTTTCAAGCTTTTTGCAAGCTTAGGATTTTTTTTTCAGTTTAAAAAAAAAGAGGGGAGGCAGCTTTACAATGAGGCTTTCCCTGAGCCTAGTACATAGGCTTTCTACTAGCATTCCTTACCTACTTCCCTAACTTACCAGAATAGCATTTATTAATATGTGACAACTGTGTATCTTATTTATTTTTATTGTTTATCATGGCTCACTTTGTGAGGTTAAGAATTTTTGTCTATTTTGTCTCATTTGTTTGCTGTCCCCCATATCCAGGACAGTGTCTGGATGGTGTTCAGTGAAGGTCTACTGAACAAGTGACTATATCTTCCCGAAGATGTACAGGGCCTCTGGGAATACTGATAATGTGAAATTCCAGGATTCACATCTGATAAATAAGACACATCTCAACTTGGTGAGGAATAAAGTGACAAGAAAGGATCCTGCAATACCTATCTGGATGCCTAGAAGACATGGTCTATTTAGCTGCTGCAGCACATTTTGTGTGTACAGATTTTTTCATATAAATGGTAAATTTATCAAAACTGATTGAAGCATATTTTAAAATTGCCTAAAAAAACAAAACTGAGTAAAGGGAAAAGAAACAAGCCAATCTGTAATAAAGAAATTACACTGACTGGCTAAGTCACAGGGGAATGATGAGGGGGGGAATGTTAGGGAACCAAAGTAAATCTAGGGTTGAAAAGCCAGAAATATTCATATAAATCTAACACTAGTCTCATGTTTCCTGTACCAAAAATGCTAAGAAGCAAACGTTCATATTTAAGGTCAATATTTTTGAAGAAGTCCTCTAATTCTCTATGAGCAGTATAACATTCATCAGAGACAATTTTTAGGTCCTGGCACTCCATGCAATTCCCTCTCTGCCCAGTAGTTCTCTGGCTGTACTTGTGTGGTGCTAACATTGTACTGCAATGCTCCAATACTACAGAAGTCAAATACTGGTGGGCTTTCTAAATTTACGGGGAAAAACTATAACTGTTAGGGATGCCTGGATGACTCAGTGGCTAAGTGTCTATCTTCGGCTCAGGGTGTGATCTTGGGTCTGGGCATCAAGTCCCAAACTGGACTCCCTGTGAGGAGCCTACTTCTCCCTCTGTCTATGTCTCTGGCTCTCTCTCTGTGTCTCTCATAAATAAATTTTTAAATTCTTTCAAAAAAATTATCCCGGGACTCCTGGGTGACTCAGCAGTTGGGCCTCTGCCTTCAGCTCAGGATGTGATCCCCGAGTTCCAGGATTGAGTCCCACATCAGGCTTCCTGTGGAGAGCCTGTTTCTCCCTCTGCCTACGTCTCTGCCTTCTCTCTGTGTCTCTCATGAATAAATAAAAAAAATCTTTTTAAAAATTATACTGATAGGTGGAATTTAAAAGCTTAAAAAAGTAACATTTCTGGGGCACTTGGGTGGCTCAGTCAGTTGAGTGACTCTCATTTTGGTTCAGATCATGATCTCGTGGGTCATGGGATCAATCCCCCCCACCCCACCCCGTGCAGCTCCACACTCAGTGAGGTATCTGCTTGAAGATTCTCTCCCACTGCCCCCCTCCCACTGCTTGCACACACGTGTGCTCTCTCTCACAAATCTTTTTTTTTTTTTTTAAGTAACTTACATTTTTGTCTCTCGTTCCCATTTGATAACAGAATCTGGTATAATACAGCATGTTATGTAGTACAAAACTATATTTAGTCATTTTATGTTTAATATGATAGTATTTCATAGTGTTAGACTAATGGAATTTGAAAGCTAGTCTTTCTAGTTATGTGGCCTTAGGAAAGTTAAATAACTTCTCAGTGCTTAAGTTTTCTCATTTGTAAAATGAAAATTAATAATACCAACCTCAGAAGGTTGCTATGAGAATAAAATTACTTAATGAAATGGAAAGCAATTAAGCAGTGCCTTGCACAGAGTACTTAATAACTGTTAGAGATTAATAACTTAGCGATTATTAGAAGTAATAGTATTTTATTAATAAAAGGGCATAATGACTTCTATGGACTCTGTCAATGAAATAATTCGAAAATTTTGTCACATGCTGGCCCAATTATGTACAAACACTCTCCCTGGTTGGAAAGGAGAAAATAAAACTTCTGCAGTATTACTTTTCTCTCTACTTCATAAATTGCTTGAGGGTTTTCCACATCACATTTATATATGCTGAGTCTTACCTGAAGAATGGAGAAATGAGTTAAATGTATACTATTCTATACATCCACAGTTTTGATTTACATTACATTATTAAGAGTATGATCTAGTCTTGAAAGTAGCTTTTTTTCTCTGGTTTTCTACTCTTAAAATGTTAGGCTTCCATGGTTAATATCAAAGACATTTTACTGATGCTCTTCAGGATCACTGATCTATAGATCATAAAAGTAACATTATTAAATCAGTTTCCTTGAGGTTTAATTCTCTAAGATACCGACAGATTTCTTCTTTTACTTAGGCCTTTTATTTCTAGTCTGCCACTCATTAGCTGAAGGATAGTAGGCACATCACTTAATACCACCAAATCCTTGAGACCTCTCATCTATAAATATAACATCTGTCCTTGCATAGTCACAGGATCAGGAGGAGATTCCAAAGGCAGTTTTTAAAACTGCATATCCTTTTATAAATATGAAGTTATTTTAATAATGCAGACCATCCAAAATAGTCAAGGCTGTTTATTTAATAATAATTTATCAGTTGCTCTTCACTGTATTTTAAAATAACTGTGACTCAGCAAAGAAGAAATTATCACATCTAGTAAGAGTCATGAAAAAATAAATCGAGCTTTCACCAACCTGGCCATTTGCTTGTAAGCTTCTTCAGCTACCGCAAAGATATGTGGATCCATATCACCCATATTCTGTCCACTATATGCATTAATAATATCTTCTCCATAAATAGGCAGCTGTTCATAAGGATTTATAGCTACTAGGACTATACCTGGGGGGGCGTGTAAAAGCAAAAAAAGAAGTCAATGATATATTAATGAACATATCAAACTTGCTAAAGTGACCACAGTTAACACAAATTTCAATCTCAATTAATCTTAAACAAGTTGTTAAAGATCAAACTATGTTACAGGCTTCGCCTCTGGGCCTGTTATACCTTGACCTAACTTAAACACCATTTAAACACTGATCTAAACTCTTAAAAATAAAAACTATTTTCATAATATTTAAATAAAAAATTCCACTTCTAGAAATTTATCCAAATGAAATCATATATTCAACCAAAGATTTTTTTCATAAAGATATTTATTGATATTTATATTTTTATTCATGAGAGTGAAAAGTAGAAACAAAATATATAATAAAGGGAGAGTAACCAAATATTTTGTTAGACCCGTATGACAGACTATTATACTACTACCACAAACTATGTTTTTAAAGAATATGAAATGTTGTAGGAAAAAATGACACAAAAGTATATACAGACCGATTCCAATTTCATACCTATTTATACTCTCTCACATATGTACAGATACAGGATGTGTTAACATAATACTGGTTATTTTTCAGTAGTAAATTACATGTAGTTATTTTTCCTTTTTTATACTTTTTTTTGTATTTCCTTAAATTTTATAGTAGGTGTATATTAATGAAATCCTTCATTCAACAAATATTTATATAGCTTCAAGTATGTATCAAGTCTTTTCTGAGTGCTAGATTTATAACAATAAATGAAAAAAGACAAATCTTTATCCTCATTGATTGTATATTCTAGTGGGAAATTCAGACAATTAACAAGATAAGAAAAATATTATAGGTTAGATAATAGAAAGGAAAAAGGAGAAAAATTAAACAGAGAAAGGAGATGGAAACTAAGGAGGGGAGAAGGGGTTTATGACTTAGATGTGGCAGGCAGGGAAGGCTTCACTGAGAAGGTAATGTATGTGCAAGAAAAAAACAAACAGAAAAGTGAAAATTGAGAAACAGAAATATTTGGTTCATAGGGAAGAAAACAGTATCAAGGATATAAGATGTGTAGGTTCTTTTAAGAAGAGAAGATAGCTGTCTCTGTCCAAAGCAGGGGGGTAAGGAAGAAATGATGAGTGGCTGAGTTGGTCACACGGAGTAAACAGACTTGGAAGGAAATGAATGAAATCCCAGACGTGAGCCCAGGGGAGAATGATCAGGGAAAGAAAGATAGGAAGTCAGTACAGAGAAGAGCCAGGGACAAGAGAAAAATGAAGGTTAAGAAAAAAAAGAGAGAAAGACAAGAAAAGGAAAAGGGGAAAAAACTCAAAAAAGTACACAGTGCTTCACTTCTAAGAGAAAAAAAAAGGATGCTGAGCTGGCTCACTGGCAGCTAATACCACAGCAAGTTGGGGCCCAGGCCAGTGCAGCAAGCAAGAACAGCTACTGGGAGTCGTCAGTCCTGCACTGAGAATAAGAGAACACTAAACTTCTCAAACCTGCACCAGAGATAAGTCTCTGGACATCTACTCTTCAAATAGCAGTTTTCATACGAGATGAAAGTAACTGGCAAACTCACTGAATTTGGCAGACAACTTCTTTAGGAGGAAGAAAAGCCAAAATATGGGCCTAGTTCTGTCTTTTTTTCCTGAGCAAAATGACAATAAGTTCAAAGAGCTTATTCAGCACAATATGCAACTAGCTAATGAACATGGTAAGTTTTTTTTGATAACTCTGAAGTGATCTTCTCCCTAGGAGGAAATCCAACTGCAGCCTTCTTTCCCCATGCACAATGTCTCCATGGCTATGTCCATTAGAGGACAGAGTTCATTCCACTCAGACAGCAAGACATACTTACCACAATATGTATAAATAAGTTTGGAGTCAATAAAGCGGACTCTGAGATTGTGGAGCACAGCAGGTTCATGAAGATAGCTGAGGGCTGTGAGGTCATTTTCACCCACAAGTATGTCAGGGTTTCTCAAGTGAGGCAGTTCCTTGGTCTTTGGATCTAGACGATACTCCAAATCCTGAAAATGCACAAGATACAGCATCTGGATAAATCATAGCAATAAAAGTAAAAAGGCCTATGCATTTTGCTTATTTGTTATTCCTGATTTTCTTCTCAGCTATTAAATGCATTCTTTTCCTGGCACCTTCCAAAGCTACAGAAACTGCTGGAAATGGAAGTCTTCTTTTTCACTAGATGTATTAACTTGTATTTATAATTTTTTGCTAATATAGTTTAAGAAGCTTAGACTTTTTTAAACCCAATTACTGAGCCAAAAGTTTTTGCCTTTTTTTTTTTTTTTTTTTTTTAGGCAGGCTGCATGATCAGTGTGGAATCCAACACAAGGCTTGAGCTCACTATCCTGAGATCAGACCCGAGGAGAACAGAGTAGGATGTTTAACCAACTAAGCCACCCAGATGCCCCTGAACCAGAACTTTTTAATCTTTCTTTAAATAACCTTTTTCTTCCCCATCCCTCACCTGTGATAAGTGAATGAGCACTAAAGAATGGTTAAGAGCTTGGCTCTAGAGTCAGATCAACCTGGGTTCAAATCCAGAAACTGGTACTTCTTTTGTGGTGTTGGGTATGTTACTGAATCTGAATCCTTCATCTGTAGAAAGGGCATAATAGAAGTAGCTCACAGGAGTGTGATAAAAGTTAAATGAGGCAGTGCACGGCATGTAGTAAGTACTTGGGAACCCTAAGAGGTCCAAGAATCTCCTGAAATTAGGTATAAATGTGTATTTGTCCATATGTATAAATACATATATATATGTGTATTATTTTCTGGAAATACAGTCCTGAGTTTCATTTGATTTTTAATGAGGTAATTGGCTCCAAAAGTTAAGAAGTACTACTCACTTTAAAGCCAAGGATATACAGCTTTATGGCAAAGCCAGGCATGCAAATTGCTACTCAACTATGCATTAAGGGCAAATAACACCTGACAAGTAAAAAGGGAAAAAAATGAAATTTAATTGTAGAGAAGAAACAGCTGGTTTTATAAAAAGCCACTTTTCTGGGATCCCTGGGTGGCGCAGCGGTTTGGCGCCTGCCTTTGGCCCAGGGCGCGATCCTGGAGACCCGGGATCGAATCCCACATCAGGCTCCCGGTGCATGGAGCCTGCTTCTCCCTCTGCCTGTGTCTCTGCCTCTCTCTCTCTCTGTATGACTATCGTAAAAAAAAAAAAAAAAAAAAAAAAAAAAGCCACTTTTCTTAACATTGCAGAGATACAGAGCTCAAATGTTCAAAACAGGTTGAGATGAACCATGTTAAATGGAGAGGAATTTATCATCTGCCCCTCAACTTCTTCCTGCCTGTTAGGGATATTATGTCCTTTCCCAAAACTGACTGGTCCTTGCACTGATCCCTGCAATACACAAAAGCCACTTCTGGCTATGCAACCTCAGGTGGAATTAATGTCTCCAAGCCTTGGCTTCCTTAACAGTTATAATATTATAACTATACGATTGTTGTGAGAATTAACCTAAGAAAATATAGCTCACGGTGCCTAATGTGCGTAACACAGAGTAGTTGAATAAATTAATTCTTTAATTTGGCATTCAATGCCCTCTTAATCTGGCCTAATTCTTCCCTGCCTTCTTCCCAACTAATCTTGCCTCTGTTTTGCTCTCTTGAAATTCATCCTCCATGCGACCATCAAGGAGTCCTTTCTAAAACACAAATCCAGCATCCTTCCTCCTTTAAAAATATTGTAATCACCTCCCATCACATACCACTTGAAGTCCAAGAGTTTTAGGATGATCCCCAGATGTGATCTGGTTCCCAGCCCCCAAACTCTTGCCAGTCTTGTACATCCTAACAACATGGAACTTGTGTAGTTCCCCAAATGTACATTACTGTGCATACCTCTCTGCCTCTGCATGTACTTTTCTGGATTCCTGAAATGCACTTCCCCTTGTCTACTCATTCTCAGACCATGCCTCCCTGAGCCCTTACCTTCATCAGACTGTCTGGCCACTCCCCACTCTGTCCTACTTTTGTTCCTTGCTTTTATATCATATGCCATACTATTCATAAATATATCTATTTCTCTTATCTAATATTGATGTCAGCACCTTTTGCCACTTCTTAACATACTATATAGGAAGTACGTTAATATGCAAGCCTAGACCTAGAACACACATCTTTCTAAATCTCTTGCTCCAGTCAACTTGTTATATTCACTATCTCCAAAATACATTCCAAACCTCATAGGGTCTACCCCCTTTCTCTTTGTCAATCCAAATTCTATCTACCTTTTAAGATTCAGTCAAAATTGTTCTTTCTCCTTGAAGCCTTCCCTGACAAAGGAGCCCATCATGAAATTTCCCTCTTAGGCATCCTAAAGTCATCATTGTCTTTACAACATTGCAGAGTGGTTATGAGCACAAATAATGAAGACAAATTTTCTGCCTTAAAACCCCAGCTTCATCCATTAATACCTATACAATCTTGAGCAATCCCTCTGAGCCCTCATTTCTTCACTCATAAACTGGTAATAACAACAGCCCCACTTCATAGTACTGTTGTGAGGATTAAATGAGTTAGAGCAAGTAAAACACCTAGAACTATGCCTACCACATAGTAAGTGTTCAATACATGCTAACTCTCAGGACAGTATTACTCATTTGGTAATAGTTCATCATAATCTTTTGACATCTTTAATACTGTGGTGTTGAACTACTCTTTCGACTCTATGTCTTATGTAACTTTTCATGTATTTGTTCCTAGTTCCCTTGGCTAGACTATAAATTGTTTAAGGAAAAATTAATGTCATAAAGTTTTTTAAGAAAATAGTATGACAATGCCTTGTCAAGTGCCGTGGAGAAATAAAAAAAGGTATATAACTAAGATGTGTCTACCCATGCCATGAATGCAGACGGAAAGTATAGAAATTAGAAACACAATTGGTTTTATATTTTTCTAGTTACTGGCAAACTGCTTTATGCATAATAGCTTGTCAGTAAATATTTTTCAAATGATTAGGTCCAGCAAGTATCAAATCTCAGACTGGCTCCTTAAGCAATGTTTTCTTAGTCACTACGAAATTAATGCTAGCCTAAACAAAATAAACAGGTATATCTTTGGGAGGAATAGAAATGAATCTAAACCTAATCATAATAAATTCATAGACCACAATAATGGATTTTTAAAGTTCTGCCATTTTCATTAACCCACTGGCGTAGAAAATTGAGTTTACTATTTTGCTACTTTTTTTAAATTTAAGTATAAATATTAGATTAGTTCAAAATGTAACTTCCAGCTGAAGTCAGCTATGCCACAGCAAACTCACACTTTTGAATTCCCTTCACTTTATGCAAATGATAACAAATGAAAGCAAAATTTTTACCTTTCCTTCCTCAAGGTGAAGCAGGAGGACTTTATCTCCTGGTTTATAATCTTTGAGCAGCTCTGCTGACTTCCAAACTTCCTCAGGATCAGGTATCCAAACTCTGGCAAACTAGAAGACAAACAGAAAAAAAATTAAACTAGCAAATCAATTACTTTATAACAATCTATAAACATTATGGACTTATTTATAATGAAACAATTTACAAAAGAATAAATTTTGGCCAATATTAAATTTAGTATTTCTTTATTTGTTTGTTTATTATGATTTTATTTATTTGACAGAGAGCTAGAAAGAGCCAGAGTACAAGTGGTGGGAATGGCAGAGGGAGAGGGAGGGGAAAAGGCAGGCTCCCTACTGAACAGGGACCCCGATGCACGATCCCAGGACCCCATGATCATGACCAGAGCCGAAGGCAGATGCCCAACCAAGTCACCCAGGTGCCCTGAAATTTAACTCTTAAATTAGTAGTTGAAAAGTACTTTAGCCCCAGTAGTACCATCATGCCCATATTATTTAAAAAATATGCTCTGGGGATCCCTGGGTGGCGCAGCGGTTTAGCGCCTGCCTTTGGCCCAGGGCGTGATCCTGGAGACCCGGGATCGAGTCCCACGTCGGGCTCCCGGTGCATGGAGCCTGCTTCTCCCTCTGCCTGTGTCTCTGCCTCTCTCTCTCACTGTGTGCCTATCATAAAAAAAATTTAAAAAAATAAAAAATAATAAAATAAAAAATATGCTCTGCCCGTTACCTGGGTGATGGGCACTGAAGAGAGCACTTGATGGGATGAGCACTGGGTGTTATACTATGTGTTGGCAAACTGAATTTAAATTAAAAAATGTAAAAATAAAAAAATAAAATTCAGTTGACGATAAATAAATTAAAAATATGCTCTGTACTGTGGTAATAATTTTATACTGCATATAAGTCAAATCATTCTATTTTACGCCTTAAACTTATATAGTGCTGTATGTCAATTATATCTCAAAAAAATTGGAGGAAAAAAAGTTACTATGAATAAACAACTACAATTAAAGTTTGAATTTGCTTTACATAGTAAATGCTACCTGAAAATGTAGTTTTAAGTAAAAATGTACAAATAAATCTATTTTTTCACTGAATGTTGAACTTTTAAAAATGTCAAAACATGAATGTGAAGCTCTGGTATTAGTGGCTCTGCCAGCTTCAACAACATAGCTCTTCTTTTTATGGCAGGATTTACAATTTGAATCTTTGGTTGTGGTTTTCATCCTGTGTTCTGCAAAGACTTGGTGACTTCTCAAGTATTCCTTAGGGACCATTAAGGTGTGGAAAAGAGGAGAGTAAGCTTGTGACTTGGAGCCACAGCTGTTTTATAGACTGGGCATCTGGAATTTCCTTTGAAGAAAGCTCTGCTGCCAATTGAAAAAAAATTAAGAAAGCAATGTTGTCTAGTATTTTGCCTTCATTATTATATAAAGAAGAGTGAAATGGTATATCTGATTAGCAGTAAGTTTGGCTCTCAGAGCCTTAATATAATGAAAGAAGTATGGTAATCAATCATCAGGGCTTCCTGAACCAGCAAATCTTTAGCCTCAACTAGACATTCTCTGGACTTAAGCCAATTTGAGACTTTGGGTCAATTTTGAAGAAAAAGAAAAATATACATTAACATGAATGAGTCCTCCAAACACCAAACTGAAGAAATGTTTTATGATTGCTTGGATTCCTCAGGAAGGAATCTCTCTTTATGTACATTAAACCTTGAAGCTCATTTTCAGGAGTATATCACATATAAAAATATCACCACCACCAGCCTTTCTCTATTTTATTTTCTTCAAGCTCTTATTATTACCTGTACTTACTCACTGTTCTATGATTGCTTGTTTATTTATTTCTTTTTTTATTTCTCCTCCTCCATTTGAATAAAGCTCCATGTCTGCCTTGTTCAATACTACATCAAGTGTCTATGTACATAGCTGCTTCACAGCGGGGCACTTAGTATTTAATGGAAGAATCTCAAAATAAAGGGTATCTTCTTAAATTGAATAGAATTTGTACGGTAAAGAAAACTTGTGATTTCTTTACTTTTCTCTTATTATTAGATTTATAAAAACTTGTCTGAACAGTTTGCAAAGAAAGAGTACTGAACTATGTTATAAAGTCTAATTCCCAGGAGTACCATACTGGCATCTTAGCCTTTATTTCAGGCATCTGTAAAATGGGGATTATAGCAGTACTCATTTAGATCATCTCAAGGGCTTTCATACAAAGAAACCTTGTGAAAAGCATAAATCAATATATGCATACAGGTTGAGACTGTTACCAAGTGTATATTCCATAAAAAATGATTACTAATGCTATGTCAAATATGCTACAGAAATTTGTTTTATAACTTTTGTCCCAGATGCACAGTCCATTAGCTGAGTAATAGCTGTTACTAAATTTACTAGAGGTTACTAAACCTTTACTAAAGGTTACTAAAATTTTACTCATTCAAGAAACATTTCTGTGTACCAGCGGCTCCCACTCTGAAACTCACTTTAGAAAGCCAGTATTTATATAACTTTCTCTGGAAGGATTCACTGGTTCCAGGAGAGATATGCAATATATGAGATTCAGAGACATGAAGTGACCTATCATCTTGATGATGAAAGCACAAAAAGCAAAATGGGTTCAAGTGAATTTGCAGAAGCATGACTGACCTGCTCTAAATATGAGGGTATTTTCAACTAAACCTAGAAAGAAACACCTTCCTGTTATTTGTCAATACCAAGTTCTGGCTCAGGTTTCCACAAGTGTTTTGGAAACACTTTGAGTGCATACTTTGCCAAAGGCTAGATTTCCAAGAGCTAGCAACACTTAGAGATAGTACAGGGAGGCCAAGGCCCTTAACACTCACCATGGGCAAGATATTTAAACATCAAACATCACCCTGATAACCAAATTCCCCATTATCCTATCTCTATCTCTTGGGAAAGTATCCAAGGAGAAATAGGTCAGAACTCGGTCTATTATTACCATTGTCTTTTTATGGTTCTTTTCCATCTTAACCGAGGAGATTGGTGACTCTGCGAAAACAACTATACTGGAACTGGGTCAGTCTGGGAAATAAATAAATAAATATTTTTTCCCAGCAACTTATATACATAAATATAATATACACACACACACACACACACACAAGGCATATACATATATGCCTTAGTTGCTGAAAACGAGAGAAATTCCAACCTGACAATGCCCCCTTCTTATTGCCTCTGTCACCTTCAACCCTACCTTCTACTTTTTCCCTAGGCCCCCAGTAAGGATACACATAGCAGCCCTGAGAAATAGGACTGAACTTGTCCAGCCACAGCCAGTGGCGAGAGACTGCCAGAAGACTGCAGCGGGAAGACAAGGCCCCAAGATCTTATGAGAAACCTGGAAATGGAACACGACAGCAAGAGTCAGACAGAATCAGAAATAGGAGTGGACACACATACCCACTAAGTCTGTTCAGGATTTCCTGGGAAAACAGAAGCAGTTAGGAAAAAGATAACCCTAGCCAAAGTGAATCAGACTGGACACAGCTCCCAGCAAGACAAGGGAGGGGCCGATGTCATGCAACTCTGCTGTGTCATCACTAGCTAGTAGATGGTGAGACTCTTTTGCAAGGCTGCTCATTCCCTTCTCCTACTCACACTACTCTAATTTTGTCCCTCAAAAATCTCATTTATAATACCTCAGACCTTATTTTAGTTATTTATGGGATCTATCTACCTCCCACTATCTTACATACTCCTTAAGGCCATTTTGGAATCCTCTATAAGGTTGGTCAAGGTCCTTGCCCATGGTTGATGAGCAGCACATCTGTGTTGATGTAATTTAAGACAGAGGTAGGATAAGGTATGGAAAAAAGATGGGAGAACTGGGAGGAGAAGCAGCAGAGGCAAACTTCAGAGGCCTACCTCAGGATTTTTCCTGAGGCCACAAAACACGGTTGAGATGGGACAGGAGTCCGAGACCAAGAGAGATCCTTGAAGTAGTAGGCAGAGTAAACATTGCTGTAGGAACCAATAGGAGAAGGGAAAGCAAAAATTTAGGACCTGAAGTACTGTAATCAAAGCCAAAAAACTATAGGAGATGAAGAAAAGATTAAGAGGCTTAAAAGAGATAATATTAAAAGGTAAACATATCAAAGAAGATTTATGACAATTCAAAGGAACACCTCATTAGAAAGGTGAGTAAGGACAAAACAGAGATGGGCTAAATTTTATGATGATAGGCAAAATCTGAGTAAATAATGCTAGCACAGATTTAAGCTGCATAATAGCTTACAAGGAAAATACAAACCATCTGTCCTTCTGTAGTACAGTTTAGTAGGGCCTGCCTGGCAATGAGGAGGAAATACTGACAGAGTCCAATAGAAGAGCACTGGAAAGGTGGGTTTGGGGGACATGCCTGCACTGGCACTTTCAACGAGGGGCACAGGCAGTGCCAGCTCAGCCTAGCATGGCCCTCCTTCCTTCTTAGGGATTACGCCTATCCCTGCAAATGTAAAGAGGCACCAGTCATCTTTCTTTTTGTATCCTCTTGCAACACTCAAGAGGTTCCTGATTAATGCAGATGACTCACTAGAAATTTCGCTAACTTGCACTTTGTCAGTCAAGGAATTCTGAGGTGTGGGCCCCAAGAGCAGTTTTTCTGAAGCGTCAGACACTTTGGGAATAAGACTGACAGCACTAATAGAGCAAATGATCAGTCCCTGGAACCCAAAAAAATCTGACCCATGTGATTCTCTCCCCTCTCCCAAACTCCCACATACATTACTCACTTCTCAGACAGCACATGTGCACATCTTTCCTAGCTCCCCCATTAAACCATAAGCAGCCTGACAACATAGGATCTGCCTTGGTTCCTGAATGTCTACAAAAATGAATGCTTTATGTGACAATTTAAACAAGGCTATGACAACTAATAAGTGTCCTCCTAGGATATGAACTGAAGCAGGAGAAAAATCCTGAATTATCAACAGCCCCTCCTCTAAATTCTATACTAACATTGATACTTACATGGTTACTAAGTAACTCATATAACCCTTAGGGTATGTTTTGGTATAAAAAAAAATCAAGTACTACTACCCTAAAGCACAT